GCCGGTATGATTAATTGCAATGAAATTTCCATGGCAGTTAATTGTTTCCAACGCAACGGTGGGCGTCATGGCCAACTAAGGGTAAAGACACACGGAGCGGTTCTGGCCGAGTCGGCAGCGGACTCGGCAGTCGTCGAGTGAAAACACACGAGTCTGTCGCTGAGGCGGCATTTGAAACACTAAACGCTGAGATGTTGTCAGTTTGTTGATACCAATAATTATATCTGATGCGTAGATATGAAGTCTGATTCTGAAGAAGAGTTTCTGACATTAGTAGGACTGATTTATTGTCGATTGAAAAAAAAAAACGAAACAGGCGTATATGGATACACCCACTTGTGCAGAATAGAATTGAAAAAAGTATGTTTTATACTTTATTCAATAATGAAATCGAAGGTGATGACGAGAAATTTTTTGATTTTGTTCGAATGTCTCAAGATTCATTTTATGAACTATTGAATCTAATAGAAGAATATACATATATCAAAGCAAGATACGGTGGTGAGATCAAGTATTCCGGCAAAAGAAAAACTGGTGATAATACTCAGGTAAGACACAATTCATTTTCGGTTTTTATTAGCTATTAAGAAAAATATTAGTACAAATGAAGCATGAACGTTACAAAATGAATAACAACGTATTAACTAATCACTATCTTGCGAGTCCTCTGGTGCAAAAAGTTCTTCGAAAGACTGTATTGAATTGGTTGGTCATTGTAATGGTGATGATACCGTTTCCTGCGACTGTTGTGGTGATGACAGTTGTGATTGAATTTGATATTGCTGTATTTCGCTTAGTGGTTGTGACTGATGTGTAAAAGATTGGTGTGGTTGTGAATATAACTGATGTTGATGTAATTGAGGTTGAGGTGTGTACTGGGGTTGAGGTGTGTACTGGTATTGAACATTTTGAAGAGGTGTAGTCAGAGGATGTTGAACTATATATTTGTTGATAGCCTGTATCATATCCATTCGCACAGAGAGTTTCTGAAAATTAGGAACCAGCTTGAGGTGAGGAAGCAGTTAGAGAAGAAACAGTTTATCGTCGTCATCTGGCATTTGTTCTTTTTTCTCCTGGCGTGCTGCACTTCTATCTAGGGCTGCAATCAATTTCGCCTCAACTAGGGGTACTTTTTTTTTCCAATTTGTGGTCTTTATATTGCAGATTCGTTTTCTCTTGCTCTATTCTCTCGTGACGAAGACTGCGTATTTTCTAATATTTCAGAAGTTTCTGTCTCTGTTTCGTGAGCATTCAGAGTAGAAGAGGTGGGTCGAGGTTGTAAAGTGTCATTCAAAAATGACATTTGTTGAGTGAACATATAAGGTGTTGTATGCTTCGCTGCCTGCCCAGATTTCCCCTTCCTTTTGTTCAAATCCCTGCAATATCGATCTCTCATATTTTTCCATCTTTTTTTGAATGATAGCACCTGTAAAAAAAAACTATTATTAGTGTTTATTTCAGGTATTTGGCCACAGGGTGTTCATTCGCTGAATTGCATTATTCATTTCGTATTGGGAGATCAACTGCCAGTAACATAGTCAATGAAGTTTGTGAAGCAATGTGGAATCATGTGGCATCTAGAGTGATACCTAAAATATCTACTGAGGAATGGATAGAAATCGCTCAGGGATTTGAAGATGTTGCTAATTTTCCACACTGTATAGGTGCCATAGATGGGAAGCACATCCGATTGGTGCAGCCTCCAAACAGTGGATCAATGTTTTATAATTATAAAAATTATTTTTCAATGGTGCTATTCGCTATGTGTGATAGCAATTATTTGTTTACATTCATCGACGTTGGTTCATATGGGAAATCTAGTGACTCTGGTATTTTTAAAAATTCGCAGCTCTATGAGAAATTGATGGATAGTACACTTGGAATACCTTCTCCGTTATTAATTGGAGATGATTCAACAACTAAATTTCCTTATGTCATAGTGGGTGACGAGGCATTTCCTCTATGCGAGAATTTATTGAGGCCATATGGTGGCAAGAACTTGACACAACAGAAAAAGATTTTCAATTATCGATTATCAAGAGCCCGAAGATATATAGAGTGTACTTCTGGTATTTTAAGCAACAAATGGAGAATTCTTCATAGACCGATTTACGTTGACATTGATTTAGCGGAAAAAATATACCATCATCAAATATCATGAATAAACTACATATGGATGGAACGAGTAGAGGAAACTGTAGAGCTATTGATGCTCGAGATCTATTCGCTGATTATTTTGTTAACATTGCACCACTGGATTGGCAAGATGCTTATGCTTGAATTACATCTCACATATATTACTATATAAAATCTATGCGTGCTTACCTGTGTTATTTTTTTCTTCTTTTGTCGCACCCTCCTTAACATATAATTCCACTATCTCTTCCCAACAGCGCCTTCGTTTAATTTTATCGGAATAGTATTTATTCCGCATGTCCCAGATTGCTGGTCTTGCCTCAATTTGTAGAATGAGATCTTCGCTATCAATTTCTTTTTCCATCGCAATTTGACAACAATGCCTATCTTCCGCCGCTGAAAAACTGCTCGCCGAGTGTATGCTCTCACTTGAAACAACTGTCTGAGCATACGCGGGAAGCAATAAAAACGCGTTCGGCACATCATCCAGATCATCGTACGCGCGGCAGCAGCGCTGCTCCATCACGCCCCATGGTCTATCTGTTTTGTTTCATTTGAAATGCTGTGATCAGAGGCCGAGTCGGCGGATGAGTCTGCTGCCGACTCGACCAAAACCGCTCCGTGTGTCTTCACCCTAAGAATGAGTAAACTCAAGAATACAAGATTTTCTTGAACTGAAACATGTTAATTCGCCAATATTTCGAAAACTGTTGAGTGTAGGTATAGATAACCTCATTCAAAGTTAGCTTCATTTTCGATGCTGAATCGAATGAGAATATAAAACTGGGAGGTTTTCATTTGAAAAAATCGACTTACAATGAAATTTACAACCGGATATATATCATTTTCTGGTGAACGCCCTGTATAATTGTAATCGAATTGATATCGACATTTTACTAAATTGGGTCCTCTCCTACGAATAAATCGATACACTATCGAAAATAAATGATCATTTCCAGAAATAAAAAATATTTTTCGGTCTGCAAACGCAATTTTCAACTTGAAATTCGAAATATTTCGAAAACGGTTAGATTTGGGTATAGGAAATTATACATGAAACAACTTCAGAATCATGCGTGAAATCGAAAACCTGGATGTCCCATTCAAAATAACGAAGTTGGGGTCCACAATCTTCAAAATATTTCAGCCGGATAGCACTTATCAACAATTGTGAACTCCCAAATTTTCAAATTCGGCCCACCTATGGTTTTCTATATATTGATAGATGCAGTTCCCGGAGGGACACCCTGTATGTCTATATATTATATTCTATTATGCAATTTGAAGCAAAAACTTGTACCAGATATGCTCGGTCAGCAAGGATTTTTGAAATACAGCAAGTATAAACTACCCCTCTGAAGGGGTCGATCGGAATTATTCCACTGGTGACATCCATATATAGGGTGATCCACGGTGGATGGCCTATTGGAAGTTTCTGGAGAACTAAAAGACAGAACATTCTGAAAATAGGGATGCTTCGATAATTGAACATTCTCTATCCGTCTAAAATATTTTCATCGATACAGTGTTGCTACTTCTATCAGAAACAGTTAGCAACTGTGCTATTATAAATGGAACACCCTGTATTTTATTGCATTTTTAGATTCTTTCTGAAGAGCTGATTTCTTCAATGTATGACAATTGGGGTCTAGCAGGAATGATTACAGTCAGAGCTGATTTCTTCAATGTATAACAACTGTGGTCTAGCACGAATGATTACAGAGATATAGGGCGTTCAAAATAGAGATTTTTCAATGTTAGAATTTTTTTGTGTCGAAACTATTCATCATCGATCAAAACGGCTTACATGTCCCTATCTTTACTTCCGATTCACTATCTATTTACATATAAATGGAGCAGATACAGGGTGATCAGAATTCTAAATCTTGAAGCACTCTGTATTTTTTCCAATCAAGTTTCAGTAGATAGTGAATCAAAAGTTAAGATAGGGACTTGTAAGCCGACACAAAAAAATCCTAAAATTGGAAAATCTTGATTTTGAACACCCTATATCTCTGTAATCATTTCTGATAGACTCCAAGTGTGATACATTGATGAAATCCCCTCTTCAGGAAGAATCTAAAAATGCAATAAAACACAGGGTGTTCTATTTTAAATAACAAAGATGGTAGTTGTTTCTGATAGAAGTGGCAACACTGTATCGATGGACATATTTTAGACGGATAGAGAATAATGTTCAATCATAAAAGTATCCCAATTTTCAGAATGTTCTGTCTTTTTGTTCTCCAGATACTTCTAATAGGCCATCCACCGTCGATCACCCTGTATATTATATTCAAATATGCAATCCTGAAAAAAAAAAACGAAACGAAAATGCTCGGTCAGCATACTCTAATTTTGGTCAGCAAATTATACACGCCCAAATATTCATAAATATCTGCGGAAATTATACTATACGAACACCACCATTTCAGTATGTGCAAACGAAACAAACATACTATTTATTTCAAATTTTATATAATGACATTGACTGTCAAATAATAATATTCCGTAACGTTTGTCAGCAACTTTGAATTTCAGCAGATTCATTCCAAATATTGATTGACATTTATTATGTTTCACCAGTCTTTTTCATTTCACTCCCTTATTGCTATCACTAAATTACTCTTCCTCTTCCTGCTTATTTGATAACTCCATTGGTGATTGTGGTGTATCAGCATCAGCATCAAAATTAGAAATAGTGTCATAATCAAGTTTTGATGTTGATTGTTATCTTCATCTCATTATCTTCCTGTTGAGCTGTTTGCAATTGTGAAAAAGAAAGAAAATATCCGTAAACAAAAAATCATAACGACTCATCAATCATAAAAACTTCTAACTTCTTTAGAGACATTCTTCGATTTTTATTTCTTCAAGTCTTGAGGTTTTTTGTTATGGTTTTTCCTGGACCTGAAACAGTATTCAGTATGTTTGTTGAGGGATTTTCTTGAATAATGTTATGTTTTTGATTTGCAGCTTTTCCTTGGGGTTTGGATTCGGTTTCATAAATAATTCAAAGGATTATATAAAAAGACGTTTCGCCCATGGCCATGAGCTTTGTCAATTTATTGATTTTTTTAAAATAATGGTTTACATTGTAGAGTGATAGTGATGAGACTTGTATCAAAAGAAAAGAGAGATATGTACCTCAACCAATTCATAATTCCGGCGATTGTGTTTTTCTGTTGAAATTTTGTTTTAATTCAAACATACTGTTACTTTTTAGTTTCCCTTCTTTTTTCTCTTGGAAAGAGTTAAAACATTTTTGTTGCATCGTTTTCCGTGAAATAGAAAAGCGAGGGAAACTACAACTTGTTGAGGTTAATTTGGAACTGTTCATCATGATTATGCAAAAGACATTTGACTGACATTAATGAAAGATGACAAGAATGACATGGAACAATTATAGAAACATATGTCAGGTAAGAGTTTTCTTCTTCTTTTTTGTTATTCTTTCAACATTGACAATACACAGTGTTTTATAAATCTTGGCAGGTGTGAATGCAGTAGTGAAAAATTGGAATTGAATTAGTGGTTATAGAATAGTCTGATAGATACTGCTCAGATTACTAATATCTGTTCTGTCGTTCATCGAGTTAGTGTCTTTTTTAATATATTGTCGCAACTCAGATGATTTTGGTAGATTATTTGGCAAACGGCGTGTCCACCACATGTCGCAACTCAGATGTTGCCCTCCTATGGATCGCAACTTGGCTACTCGCTTGGCTTGATGAGAGGATTTTGATCATTTTACCACCCAACCATATTCATCCCCAGATGAAGAGTCGAGATAGTTTTCGTATAAAATTAACATTTATTGATTTAATGGGAAAGTCGTGAATAAATGCTTTCCACATGGCAAAGTAGCAGAGACAAACCATAGTAAATTACCAAACGGAACACAACATAAAACAACAATTCAAATAGAACATGGAAAAACAGTACTTACTTTACGACGTCTAACATGGGGTTGACCAGCAGGATCAAAGTCGGGAGGACGGTACACTTTTTGGCAGCAACTCGTGAATTAGTGACTCAATTACGAAGTGAAGTAAAGTGTTATCGAAATGCATCATAATCAAATATAATAATCAAATAGTAATGAATTAGTTATCATTAACCAGTAATGAGTAAATCAATAATAATGAACAATCAGTAATAATCAGTAATAAATGGCTTATCGATTCGGAATCTATTTATATTTGGAATCGATGCTAACATTGCAATTTTCCGCAATGGCAATGCTCGATACCAGGCGTATAGCTTAGCCCGCATCGCAAGCTAAGCGGTTTCATGCAAATTTTACCGGAACTAGAGTCTATGAACTCCGCTTTGACCTGATCGAAACGCTGTACAAGATGTTTGAATTTGGAAAAGTTAATTTATGAATAGAGATCTAGAAACGAACGAAAGTTTGAGTGATGTTATTTCATAGACATTTTTACTTCTTGACACATCTCCCCTGTTTGACGAAGCTGGCCCCACAGCTTCAAGTGTCTATAACTACCTATATACATGATACAAAACAATAATCAAATCGAATAATGAGTCAATCAAATGAAGTACCTAAGTGATCGAATGAAATAAAAAATATAAAATTGTGTAAAAATCATACCTACATCAATGATAAATGAAAACATTTCATAAAAAAAAAATTGTTAGTTGAAACAGGAGATGAACAAATGAAAAGAACTTGTGATAACTCTCCATTAGATAAGTCTATTTTCTCCGCGTATGTGAGAGTTTCGAAGAGGACCACACTGAAAATCACTTGGTCCGGCACTACACTTTAATTGTTTGTTGACACTGAACTCTGTCCAGTCATCTGAGGTTGCGGTTCTATTTTCCATATGTTAGTGTCGTAGGTCAGTGATGTTTTGTTTCACTTGTAACTTGATACATCCATAACATTAAGATCATAACATGGTAGGATTGATGCACGTGAGATCTGTGAGAAGGTCTGATGAGACGTTTTCTATGGCAGTGTACGGTTCAGCTTATAGACTGCAATTGCTGCGTTCTTTGCATGCTGCGCTCTATCATCTCCGGAGAAAAAACGAGAAGAGATTCAGGAGATTATCTCTGTCTCTTTCTATGCAGATAACGGAATGTGCTTAGTGGGTATTTATCAGGAGCGTTGTTACTTTTGTAACTCTGTGTTCCTTGTGTTCGAAATGATTTCGGTAGTTCAGTACTATCTACACTTATAATCGGCGTGATTTTCGTGTAGTGAGTAGTAGTGCGAACTTGATTGCTTGGGAGTGTAGACATTACTTTGGTTACTGTATTGAGTTTCTGTAGTCGGGGCTCTGGTAAGTTTTGTCTATTGTGCACTTGTTCATCATAACCTCGTGGAGATTCCGTCTAGGTTTCGTGGATTTTGGCTGCTTTTTGGGCACCAGAAGCGTGGAGGAGAGCATATCGTCGTGCAAATTGGGCAGCTACTCACGGGAACGGCGGTTGTAGCATTTCGAGACACATCAGGAATACAAAGTAAGTTTTGCCTGCATGCATATCGCGTCCTATATTGCAATATGACTACTCAGCGTATTGTTTCCATGACAACTGCATTTTCCATTTTTCCAGTGCTTTCTACCGTACGAATTACATCTACCCGATAACTCCAGGTACGATGAAACTTCTCATGGACCAACCCCTTTGACGTAGTATATGGACCTATGACTGTTTGTGGTTCAGGTCGACTTCTTGGGCTGCATCTGAGTGGTGCCATCAAGTGTGGCTCTTCGTTTCACATGTAACAAGAGAGAAAAAATATCGGCAGTAAGTTCATACAAAAGAATACATATAAAACTACCTTACTAGTTATAAAATATAGTTATTGAATATTATCGACGTAACTTTCTCGAGTAATGATCTCTAAAAACTTCCCAAATTAGTTCAAACGAAATTATTTTCTCATGATTTTCTTGCTGCTTATCCTGAGTTCATCAAAAAGATAGGTCCCAGTACAGGAAAATCGAGATATACCTTCTTCTACTACCCTTTTGAAGAATCTCTTTTCCACTCTGTATGAAATTGTTTGTGTTGCCGAACAATTTCTGTTCAAATTATAGAAAAGAGATTATTTCTTGATTTGGAATATGAATGACACACCCGTATTGATGATTTTTATTGTAATGTTTCATTCCTTCAATTAATTCTCATTCCTATGCTATCTCAATGTTACAAATTTTTGTTTTTTAATATTATAGATGGTTTGTCACCGAAAAAAAAAAACAAATCTTCCTATATGATATTTATCATAAAACAAATACACTCCTGGCTAATACCTAACGACGAGCATTGAATTACATATGATGAATATCTAGGTATTTTGTGGAAACTTCATCTCGTACATCCTGAATATCATTAACTTTGTATCTGCCATTATTTCTTTTAATCTGACAATTTGCTTTGTCCCTATTTCTCTTAATATCGCGAGAAAAACATATTATTTCATACATCTATCGTTTCACTTTGAAACGAATACATCAATTTGCACTTTCGAGTGCCTTCACGTCATTATATCTCTCTTTCTTCACGCATCACATTTACTACGTGACAATAACAAAATAACATCTTTATACTTATTCATACACCATGGCTGACAGCTGATTTGCAACTATTGTTGTTATTCATCTTCGTGGCGTCCCTCTTATCTTGCATTATCATCTGTCATAAGCGTATCATATTTCAACATAATTCTCCATAATAAATCTTACTTCATCAGATACAACTTTCTGTTATGTTCTAGTAATTCGTATATTCAGTATTTTTCCAGAGATTCTATTTCCAAGTACATATGAATATTAAACCACTTACATGAAAAATTGAGATTTTGTCATGGACATAACAATACAAGTAGTAATACAAAGCAGATTGATCGCCAGAGCCGCAATAAAATGCCGCTAGTTAGCGTTGGCGCTGGTGTCGCTGGTGTTGCGAAGTTCAAATTTGCAGATGGCGGCGGCGCTGATGGCGGTAAATTTGAAATTGTGAGGTTATGTCATCATCATGATGAATTTTTAAATAAATAAATAAATTAAAAAAAGCTGTTTTGACCGCGCCGGTGGGGGGAAATTGAACCAGGGACCTTTGCATTATGAGGCAGCGTATATACGCACTGTGGTATTCCGACCTCCGTGATATTTCAATTATTTAAATGCTATTCAAACGGGATATCCATTGCTGGCGCGCGCGCGCGCTTATCTTTGCAACGGATCCATCGAGGTAGAGTGAAGCGAGAGATGCATTCCAGAGATAAGAAACTTCGAGTCGAAAATAATATCCATCGCAGGCGCGCGCGCGCTTATCTTTGCAACGGATCTATCGAGGTACAGTGAAGCGAGAGATGCATTCCAGAGATAAGAAACTTCGAGTCGAAAATAATATCCATCGCTGGCGCGCGCGCGCTTATCTTTGCAACGGATCTATCGAGGTAGAGAGTAAGGCGGCTCGAGCGCGCGGTGCTGCAACGTTGTCGGACGTATGTGTTTGGATGTTAATATTGTTACATTATTGTGTGTGGCAACGCTGTCTCGCTTCATGGCGTTCGAAGATCCAGTGAAGCGAGAGATCCCTTAGAATGATAAGCGCGCGCTCGTATTGAAAACGAATACTTGGATTATTTATTTATTTCAAAGTGGGTGACGTCATGCCGTTACCTTCATGGCGTTCGGAGTTCTAGCAAAGCGAGAGATCCCTTAGAATGATAAGCGCGCGCTCGTATACCCATTCCTCAAACTGTGACTTTAATGACAATAACAAGATTGAATTTTCATATACAGGGCGTTTGAGTTGATTGAAAATTGAAAAAAAAAATATATACAGAGTGTCCTACGGTTCGCGGTCCCATGTTTTAGCATGGAAGAAGTGTTTGAGTTGAAAGAAATATATACAGGGTGTTTGAGTTGATGAAGATTGAAAAAAATATATACAGGGCGGTCCATGGGGGTGAAAGAATACGAAAACAAAGATAAATAATCTATTTATTTAAGTAATCCTTTTCTACAAAAATGACATGCCTCTTGAGAAGATGGCGGTCCATCCCAGTGTGTGGTCCAATCGGGACGATTATAATGAACGAAGCATGGCAGTTTGATTTGTAGGTTAAAGTTGCTGCGATATTCTTGAGGAAGTTTGTGCCACACCCTTAATAGCCCATAAGGATCTGCATATTCAATGAGACATTCTACTGGAATGTACTGTAATTCTTCTTCAGTGAATTTCACCAAAGCCATTGCAGGAGATTTCAGTCGAGTCGAAAATAATATCCATCGCTGGCGCGCGGTTATTTTTGCAACGGATCTGTAGAGGTAGAGCAAAGCGAGAGATGCGTTCTAGAGATAAGACACACAAGTATCACATCGAAATAAATTTATGGTGAAATATTTGCGATAACCGTCACATTGTTGCCAGACGTTGGAAATTATTATTTATGAAGTCGATAAGGTGTTGTCAGATTTTCAAAAAATATCTGATGTCGCGTAATACATGACATATGACGTATGACAGATGGTGTTTGCAATATGATGTATGTAGGGAGTGGAAGGATACGAAAGCAACTATATATTCTCTTATAGAGTAGTCATGGCTAATATTTGTGAGCGCTGTCATCAGCTGTGTACTGTACGAGAACTTTGTAATAATTGTTTTATAATAGAATGCCTCAATAGTGGAGAGCGGATTCCATTTAACATCAATTACACCTGGGAAAGTTTTAAAAAGAGAAAATTCACCTATAATAGACATCAGCTATTGTGTGAGAAATGTGGGAAATTCTTGAATAAAAGTAACCTATACCACCATATGAGGAATGCCCATAGAGTGGACGCCACCAATTCGAATAACCTAGCTGATTAGCGGATGGCAGTTAATGGATTCAGAAGTCTTCAGATCACACCTATAGAAGTATTCAGAGGTATTCGGATGTCTTCAGAAGTCTTCAGATCACGCCTTCAGAGGTATTCAGAAGTCTTCAGATGTCTTCAGAAGTCTTCAGATCGCGCCTTCAGAGGTATTCAGATGTATTCAGATGTCTTCAGAAGTCTTCAGATGTCTTCAGATGTATTCAAGAGTCTTCAGTTGTATATCAGACACCATAGCGTTCACATCATGGAGTCTAAACCACATTCATCAGAGCAAGCATTAGATAAATATCACTGTGCAGATTATGATAATGCTTATGGACCGAAATATGTTGACGGCAGATGGACACTTGGACATAAGAATCTACGCTTTGAGGACCAATACATAGGCGTAGATAATGTCGATTTTAAAAGTACTCTGGGTCTTTTGGAATTATTATTTTCCAAGAACCCTCGAAATTACACGCCTCTGGATCACCAGATGTATAAACAGATACTGGAAATCAGCTCTATTCATAGAGATCGAGTAGGGCGATTACGAGGACAAGCTGATAAGGAGAAATTCGATAAAATTATCAGACCCCTCTTCAAAAATAAGACCAAACCTAAACGTCCAAAGTCGAGCGTGGAGCCTGAAGCCAGTATTGGGAATGAAGAGTACAATATTTTAGATGAATGGACAGATCCGAATATCTTGGTGGATAGACTGAGATATTTAATGGAATCAGATAAAAACAACAACGAGATCGCCTTTATTCTTACTGAACTTGAAAATGTTGGTATAATATCTAAGAAATAAATGATGTCAAAATTATCCGTTTTTTATTCAACACCTGCTAGGCGAGTAGACTCACAATGACTACTCAACTTGGCATACAAAAATATATATTTAAAAACCCTGTATAATGACTGGTAGGTAGTGTGATGAAATCATAAACTTGGTTGACTTGCTGACTGTCTTTGGTCGACTGACATTTTTACGATGATAATCACTCTAAGAGTCACAAAAATGAAAAACGAGGTAGCGACATTTCTTGCTGACCCGCCCTGTATAGCAGAAATATTTTTTAGTGTGGGATATTGAATATTAGGTCTAGGACTAAAAACAGCTCTTGTTTCAGCTTGAACAGCTGTTTTTTGTGTGATTTCGATAGTTCCTTGTATCTCATATGGAACGATAAGAGAATCAATAATAATAGGATTATTTCCTTTATTATCCGTTAATTTTAGTCTATAACTCAGCTGATTTAATCATCTTTCTAGGCTTTGAAAGAATATGATTTTCTGTATACGCCAAATATAGAACAACCAAGATAACGGCATCCTGTTTGAACGCTCCAACTTGAACAGCTGTTTGATTTCGGTAGTTCGTTGATTTCGTGAAAAAACGATAAGAGAACCCGTGTATGTCCTTTACACTAACTCGTTAATTGTTGTCTATAGTTCATCTATTGTAAGAGTATCAGATTTTGAAATATTCGGCGGATTCAGTGGCAGATAAAATGCATAACAATGCTTGAATATAATATGCACACATGAAGACTATTTTTCATATTAAGCCTCTCAATGTATAGGGTGAATCAGTCAGTAGTCGGACAGTGGACTGAGTTTTACAAAAGAATCATATTATGTGATGCATGAAAGAAATGCTCAATAGATCATATTATCAATAAGCCAAAAAGAAACAACAAGTTGTGTTCTTCTTTGCCAGTAGTCGGACACTTGTCCGGCTACTGGAATTTAATAAAAATAAATATCTAGTAACCGGCCACCGACTTTTCACTTTGAAATTTCAGTAAACATCAGTTTCAAATGATCTTAATGCAAATTAAGACTATTTGTCACACATACAAAATCAATATGAATTCATAAATTTAAAAAGAATAATTTTCACTCGCCCTTGAAATATCCTTTGCCTATATGTTTGATACACTATGTTAAAGACAGTCACGCACATCACTAAATTGGCGCGCTATTATAATTTCAATAGTACCAACTGCTCAATCGAAAAATGTCTAGAATGGCGTGGAAACATTGGTGCTACAGATTTCTCTTCATTTGGAGGTAATATGTTATTTGCAGGCAAACTTGAGAAAACTATGTTTCTATTTCAATAGAGTGATTCTTCATCAGGCTATTACATCAAGGAATGATCTTTGATTTTAGTTTTCGCGATATAGATATAAGTTGATCAGTAGGTTTTATTACTGGTTAAAATCGAGAATGATTCATCTAATAGACATCGTTAGGGTGGGAGTTTGAATTTTAGGTTTTTCATTAGTTATTCCTTGAAAGACACTTACCTGAAATGTACGTTGGTCAATCGTTAGCAAATTATACCAATCGGCAACCTGCAGGGCTGCTATAATGTAGCTTGATACAGCGAAACTGAGAAAGGGAGATAGAGAGAGAGAGAGAGAGAGAGAGGGAAATAAGATGTGGGTTGAAAGTATGGATGTAAAAAACAGTTGTATCATGTCTTCTGACGAATACAGACGTGCACTAGAAGAATTTGGGTTGAAAGTTAGAAAGCTCAGTGCAGACATCCAATTGTATGAGCAGAAAGTTTGTTTGTTCAAAGATTTCGAGCAATTGAGTATTTGGGACAAGGTGTTCACAGAACCGAGACGTTCAGTTGCACCTACATCGAGAAGAATTCAACCAACACAGCTACTAGATGGCGATACTGAAAGCAAGCTTCATCCTATTGACAGCTCTGAGCAACAACGTCTTCTACACAAACATACCGTACAATACAAGGAATGTAGCCGTATGTTTTGATGTGAATCGTACACAACAATGTGATTGGAAGATGATGACTAGAATGTATGTCAATGATAACAAACTACCTGTATATTCAATCGACATGCCACAACATGTTAATGAAAGCAGCATCGACTACAAATTGAAATTATCGTTTTCTGATGGCAGTGACGGCGAAATGGGAGACTGGCAGACATTTACATTGAAGAAATCCCCCGCAAAATTAGATGATGATCAAGATTCGGTCAATATCATTGCAATTTTGACACTTTGTTGTACACTAATATGTTCACTCATTTTAATCTCACATGTTATTTTCATTATACTGAGAAATAAGGGATGTGATGAATAAAAACTCTGAAATTACGATATATAGTTTTTTATTTTGGCAATAAATTACATAACCAATTATATAAAGTATCGACATTGTGGAGACTGCACTGGAACCTTCCTCCATGGAAATGATTCATGCAAGGTGGAATGGATTGTTGAAACGTTATTGGCTGCCACCAAGAATTGTCAAAATCTTCTAAATTCACAATGTGATTGGTCATCTCCAACTCTGCACATTTTCGCTGCAAGAACTGAATCTTTTGATGGCCTCTTACGTAGATGATGTTTGTCTGCTGCAGGTTATCTCGTAGTATTTGATCCAACTCATTCAAATCCACATAACCACTGGAATATTTTAAACCATGAACGTAACGCTCCACATGATTTGCCATCTTTTTATCTTCTCTGCTCAAACTGGAAAATTCTACAGATGGCTTGAATAGAAAATGACTCGTCTTTTTGCCAATGCGAATGGTCATTTCCTTTGGAATGAATTCACCATCAACCATGAACCCTTGAATGTCAACCAGTGCGATCTCCATGACTCTTCGAAGCAAACTGACGTCTGACTGATGCAGCAACACCCACCTAGGCAATATTTCGAACAATTTCGCTGAGTGGGAGATGTTCCATGATTTGATCGTGAATGATGATGCAATAGGCTTTGGTGTCGGGAGGGAAGCCTGTAGTCGCTTCAATGTCCAACTTTATGTCAACTGTAGACGACTTTAGACCCAGATGGCGCCTCGAGCAATCGATAACAAACATTGGTCGGGATTTGAATTCGGCAAAGTTTACTAGAGAGCGCTTTTCTTGACAGTTATGGTAGCTCTTGTTGAACTCTGTATAGTTGAAGTGAGCGTCAGCATATTGGTCTCGGGAAAAGTCCAATAGCATTCGTTCTTGCGGATAATAGTCGCTATTCAGAGCCAATCGTATGGATTTGATGTTGGCATTATCGAACAAGGTGACGTCTTCATGCAAATTATCGGCTTTTTTCGTTTGGAAAAATACTATAACATATCTTGGACTGTCCAATGCAGAACATGTCTTGACGGACCAGATTTCTATGGTAGATCCTTGTGTGAGTGCTGGTAGCTCGTGCAATTCCCATCGGCGAAACGGTATCATCATAGACTCATCTGCTTTGATACGTGTCAACAACTGCAACTTTATGTCATCGTTGGGTGTGAGATGTGGCACTTTCAAATTGATGCTTTCTATCGTTATTTTAGCAATACTTTGAGTCTGAGGAGATCCTGGCAAAGCAGTATTCGCTCTCTCGACAACCTTCACACTGTTGGCATCATTGCGAGCTCTCACTAAACGGATTGACTGCTTGCCCCACGTTGCCACTTGATGATCATTGAAGATGGAAAACAAATGTTTCAGTGGAATGTTCATGCTAAACGTACCATCGGTGTTGAGGATCGGAGCATTGGGATAGTTCCAGCCTGCTATGGCTAGATGACGTGAGTCTTCAGGTGTATAACACAAGTATCCTCGCACAGTACTCGTTATTCCAGGATATCTGACAGTGTCCAATTCTTTATTACACAATTCATAGGTGCAGGAATCAAAGAGATAAGCTCCAGCATTGTGGGTTAATGTACCAGTACCACCACCGGTCACCTTCAATTTACCCTTGATGGTAATGATGCCTTCAAACATGGCCAACCACGAATCTGCTTGATTAACCGTTATATCGATGACATCATTGTTCTCGAATGATTTCACATATGGATAATAGGTACGCCATTCCACTTTAGTGATGCTTTCGTCGAATCTGGGTTTGCGGAAAACGTCGAACACGGGTGCTAACAACATTGTAGTCTTTGAGTGATTTCAGAAACAGGACACTGGATAATGTCAATGTTTTTCTGTTGCTGCTGCTCTTCGAAGACACGACTGCTTTGGTGTACGGTGTCGAGAGAACTGGTGCCGATGATGTTGCTGATGATGGTATATTATCTGATTTATAGGAGTAATCAAACACTAGTACCATCTTGCGAGTTTCTTCAATTCCAATCTTATTATGATTTCTTCACCTCTAAAATTCACCTGCCTGAAATCTTGGTCTAGAATCTGGAGTGTAATGTTGGGCAATTCCCGCCTGCTGACTATAGGTAGATAGATTAGATTTCTGGGAGTCTCGTCTATGGCGTAACCAGGATCGACTGCAACTGCAAACTCGTAGATCGTATGTGATGGTCTGTCGTTGTAGAGAGCTCCAGCAGTAACGTTGCTATCAATGTGAATGGTTCTCACTTTGGTTATGCTGACCGGCAAATCGGAAGTGTGGACTTGTTGTGCGTTCAACAATCTATTTGAAAATCCCAAGACTTGAGCTATGCTATCCTTCGGGCGAAAATCAATGGCAAACTGTTTGCTCGAAATCTCACACTTTAGTGTATTATTGTTGGGCTTCAACGAGAATATATCATCAACGTCCTTTGCACTTGAGATGCCCAATTCTTTGCGTATGAATGTCTCAATGTCCACAATGTCGTATGAACCTTCGGGAATATCGATGATCTTTCCCGCCTTGGTCTTATCTTGCAGATAAAACTTTGATCCTTTGTCGATATTCGGTATACTGTTGTATGAATGGAATCCCAACAATGCTAGTCCGTAATCAGAGTCTGGATCGAGTTGAAGTGGTGTCAAAAAGTCTATGGAGAGCGTAGGTGTACGACCTTTCAACGTCACAATCAGAGACATGACTGATGCACAATGACCGAGTTACTTGGTCTCATTAAAAAGGAATTCTAAACATAGACGTCCACAATTACTTTGATTGAAATTCTGGTATTGATTGTTATTGTACAAGATTTTCGTGCTGGCACCCAAATACTGCGCCAATTCTCTGGGCGGTTTCAGATTACCATAACTATCGAAATATAAGGCTTTTTTATCATTTTTTATGTAAGCCACCCAATGAGTGCCCGCATGATTGGAGGTATCCAAATTCAATACAGCACACTCGCGATGCCATGGACCGGTGGAAGGTAGAGTGTCCCGCATAAAAACACCTCGAAAATATGGTATTTTCAGCTGTTTGGCATACTTTATCACATCTTCATCGTACATTGATTTATTGGGTAGCTTGTCTAGAAGTTTTTTGAGTTTTTTGATTGTTTCTTCAAGTACAGTCCGAATCCTCTCGATGTTTTGCGTAGAAATAGGCCGGAACCCTGCTTGCCGATAGCCTCCATTGCTTTATTATGTCTTTGATCTTCTTCGAGCTTTTTCTTTGCATTTTTCGCATCAATGACTGTCTTTGCGACTGCTCCGGCTCCTCCAGCTAGAGATCCTAGGGCTCCCAAGGCGGCAAAGATTGGTATCAATGGTAGTATACCGCCACTGTGTGGAAGAGGTATGATTCTTGGTACTCTGATTCTTTTTTTACCGCCAGCCCTCTTGACTGCCATTCTGGCTGCATGGAGTGCTTTCAATGCAGATTTATTCAGACCACTTCCAGATGTTGTACTACCACCACCACCATCTGACTTTGATAGTACATTTTTTATGAATTTGATAATGTTGGATAGGGATTGCTGTGATACAAGACCCATGCCAAGTTTTCGTTTGACCTTCATTCCGGTGGTGACAAGCCAAGCAGCAGCCTTCTCTTTGAATTTAGCGTTCTTCGACTTGACTCTCTCCCACGCCCTATTTTCCAATATCCAATCAGCTTTGTGCCTGTCTTCTATTGAGGAATTTTGTGAATAGGCGATATCGTGTTCTCGACACGCGTCGTCCAACGGATTGATACCGGTGTCTCCTCTTGCAAGTCTTTTATCGAGTTTGGTACCTGGACCACAAAATCTGTAGCCTGAAATGTGTAATTCGATGGGAAGTTTATCGATCAGAGAATTAAGCACACCCTCTCCGTGGTAGAGCAACATGAAGACTGACGTGTAGGAAGTTCGACAACTCTGCATATACCTAATGAAATGAAAAATATATCATCACATGATGAAGATCATTCAACAAGAACGGATGTTACCCATTGTGAATTTGGATGAAATTTTGTCAACCAAACCCCCAGTGAATAGTAAACATGGGAAACTGCTTCCCCATTCGTTCAGAGCAATCTTCTGCGGACCAAGCGGATGTGGGAAGACCAATGCGATGCTTTCCCTGCTGTTCAATCCAAATGGCGCGAAATTCAAGAACGTTTACGTGTATTCAAAGTCGTTGTACCAACCGAAATATCAATTGCTGCAACAAGTGTTGGATTCAGTGAAAGGTGTTGGGTATTTTCCCTTTAAAGAAAATGATGATGTCATCAGTCCATCAGAAGCGAAAAATCATTCGATATTCATTTTTGATGATGTATCATGCGACAAGCAGCAAAAAATTCGAGAATATTTTTCAATGTGTAGACACAAGGATATTGACGTAGCATACCTTTGCCAGACTTTTTCTAAGATACCGAAGCAGCTGGTGCGAGACAACAGTAACCTGTTGGTGTTATTTCGACAGGATGAAATGAATTTGAAGCATGTGTTCGACGAGCATGTCTCACCAGACATGTCATTCGATCAATTTAAAGCATTGTGCTCAGAGTGTTGGAATTCCAACCAATATGGTGCGATGGTGATTGCAAAAACTTTCGATATGAATGCTGGCAGATATAGAAATGGTTTCGATAAGTTCATAAGACTGTGATCTCTGGACCATTCATCAAGATGACGTCAACCAAGATGCATGATGATGTTGCTGATGCGCTGCGCAAGAAAAAAATCAACGAACTATCGAAATCAATCAGAAGAAAATATTTGGCACTAAAATTGGGCAAGTCTGAGGATGATGATGCGTTACAGAAAATATTCCAACCACTGACATCACCTTTGAAACAGATTGCCTCCGCGTCCAAGGTCATAGAAGAAAAACTCGATGGAACACTTTCAAACATCAAGCGAAGCAGAGCAAAATCGTTGGGGTTGAAGGAGGAGAAGAAGGAGGAAGAGGATGGGGAGGTGGAGAGGGAGCAATCGGATTTGAACCAAACTAATTTCATACCTATGATGGATGTGGCTGATAATGCTGGGCATACTGAAGATGATGATGAGGATGGTTATGACGATGCTGATGATGAACTTTTTGTAGATAGTGAAAATATCTCACTGGCTGCAATACATGATTACGTTGATCAGTATCCTGCGATGGCTCAAAAATATCTGACTGAATACTGGACAAATGATGAAAATATCGATACGGTTTATGGTCCCAAATATGATCCAGTAACATCGAAATGGTCACTCAACGGAAAAGAAATGAATTTCCATCGAAGAACTGGAGATATACTTCTTGATGGCTTTCGGTTCCGTGGCACCCCAGGCCTCTATCAATTACTCTTCTATAATGATCCATCCTTTGCCAAAGATGATACGAACCCATACAAGCAAATACTCTTGCTCACCAAAGCTCATCTGAATTCTGCAGGACGTATGAAGTCCTCCTCTAGACTCAAATACGTAGAAATTATTCGTCCAATGTTCAGATCCAATTCCAGTGGTCGTGGTTTGAAGTTGACATACAACACAGCACCTATCGAATACATGTATTGGGATGATCCAAACGAATTGGTAGATAGATTGAAGTTGCTCATTGCATCACAGCAAGCCGGAAATACATCAAACGATAACGAGATTGTTGCCATCTTGAACGAATTAGAAGAGGCAGGCATAATAAAACATGTGTGACATTTCTGTGATACTTCCGTGACACTTCCATGACAACTTCCATGACAGTTCCATGACACTTCCTTGACACTTCCATGACAGTTCCGTGACACTTCCTTGACACTTCCGTGACAGTTCCGTGACACTTCCGTGACAGTTCCGTGACACTTCCTTGACAGTTCCGTGACACTTTCATGACATGTCTATGAGTGAAGGGGCTAATAATTGGCGAGGCAAAGTGCCGACCATTATCGATAACGTACAATACTTTAGTCATTAGCATAATGAGTCTCGACAAATTCGGACGTGGTTCGTTTCCACGCTCAGCTCAAATGGTGACAGTCAGATCTGGATTTTCACATACTCCAACCGGTGATATTGATGTTGGTCATTTGAAGATGTGTAACGTAAAACTGCCAACAGATGTCGCTGATGTTGCAAACAAACAATATGTGGATGAAGTTATATCGCAAATAAAGTTAGATTTCAAGATTGCTTTCGATAATTACGGTGAAAAAATCCGAAATTACCTTGCTGGCTTCAGCAACGAAATTATCGATGTACGAAAGAGAGTGGATTCTCATGATCTCAAACTGGCAACGTACAA